TATATATATATATATATGTCAACTATACCCTTAAAAAAGAAGAAAGAGGAAGCATAATAAATGAATTATATATATTATCTTAATATTTTAAGATGGTATTATTTTTTTTCTTCAATTATACTTTTATAAAAGAAGAAAGAGAAATAATAGTAAATGAGATATCTAAGTAATAAATAAGAGAGAAAAAAAATATAATAAGAAATTATTAGTAATTTTAATAAAAAAAGATTTTTTTTAAAGAGAGATAAAATTCAAAAGGAAAGTAAAAAATCTACTAAGAAAGACTTAAATTAGTCAACAATGAAAATTTGAAGGTACAAAGGCTAAGAGATGCCTCCTTGATTTGTTAGTTAATTTTTATATTTTTTTACAATTAAAATATGTAGAGGAATCAAAACAGGATACTAAGGATGAATCTTATTTAAATTTTAGAATTAAACAAAACAATGTATACGAAGCTAAATATATATATTCTTACCTGTGTAATGTATTTGTTGTGATTTTTTATTTGTGAAATGCATAAATCTAAATAATTAATAAGTTTAGATTAATAAGTTGTAGTTGTTTTAAGTAATGTTGAATTTAATTCTCACAAGTAAGATTTGAGATTCAAATTTTATATATAAAAAAACGTAATAAATAATATAAATTCTATTGAAGATGATTAGTCAAATTTTCGGATGAAAATTAATTATTAATAAAATATATTTTATGTCAATAATATAATTAAAAAAATTATATAACTTTAAATTTTTTAATCAATAAAAGCTAATAACAATAACATGGTTGAAACATAGGACTCTATCGATGTTACCCCCAATTCCGCTGCTAGACCGACCACTCACAACTTGGATTTATGTTTCTTTCATTTTTATTTTTTGGTTTTATAACATCTAATTTATTTTCAAAATAATTATCGTCCATGAATGGGTCAAATGTTAAATAAAAACACGTCTTTTGATAGAAATCCTAATTTGTAACTTTTTGGCTTTTTAACATCTAATTTATTTTTGACAATGCATTCATTGCACTTGCCTATATAATGGGCCAACATTTGACATGGTGTGTGCCACTGTCACCACATATTCGTGCCTTATGACTGCAAACTGAGCTGAAGCTCCATTCAATATTCATGCCTATTCCGAATCTGCAGCAACACTTTCACTTTCAATACCAAATTATGTCTTCATACATGTCAAGTGTTGCAACTTTGCTATTGTTGCATGTCATTATTGGCTTGCTTCTAGTTTCAAATTTGGCCTCTGCTTCAGGCCTAAATGCCACAAATGGACACACAAAACATAGGGCTGAGGTGATCTATGCTCACAATGGAGCTGTTGCCACCGATGACCGTAGATGCTCAAGGATTGGGTTGAAAATTCTCCGTGAAGGAGGGCATGCTGTGGATGCTGCAGTGGCTGCTTCCCTTTGTTTAGGGGTTGTGAGTCCTGCCTCAAGTGGCCTTGGAGGTGGTGCCTTTATGCTTATCAGGTTGGCTAATGGGTTTGCTAAGGCCTATGATATGAGAGAAACTGCTCCTTCTCATGCTTCCAAGGTACCATCCTAACTCCTAACCATGAAATCTTTCAATTATGGATGGATTATTCATCTGCCCATAGTTTCAATTGATAATGCGCCCCCCCCCCCTCCCCTTTTAGTTCAGGAGATGTTTCATATTTCGAGTGATTAGTTTCCAGTTCAATCTCCAAGTCTTTGTGTATGAAACTGGTTTTAACTTTTCAGCATTCAAAATTGGCTAGATTTAATAGGGATGACAGTATGTACGCATTAGAAGCATAAAAGTGTAGTAAATTTTTACTTTCTTAATTTTATTTTTATCACTTTTTGATGTTTAAAATCAGCACCGATGCTAACAAAACTAGAATTGGAAACATAAAAATTATGTAATGATTAATTTTTAATTAAAAAATTAATAAGGGGGTGTTATTATATTAAACATGATATACCCATTTTTTCAGGATATGTATGCTGGAAATACTACTTTGAAGGCTGATGGTGCCCTCTCTGTAGCAGTTCCAGGAGAACTTGCTGGGCTTCATGAAGTGTGGAAACAACATGGAAAGCTTCCATGGAAAAGACTTGTAAAGCCATCTGAGATTCTAGCACGTAGAGGGTTTAAGATATCACCTTACCTCTACATGCAGATGGAACAAACAGAGTCAAGTATATTGAAAGACAAGGGTCTCAGTAGCATATTTGCACCAAAAGGAAAACTCTTGAAGCCAGGTGACATGTGCTACAATAAGAAACTTGCTGACACTCTCAGAACAATATCCGAGGTTGGTCCACAAGCCTTCTATGGTGGATTGATTGGCCAAAATTTAGTTAAAGATGTTCAGAATGCTGGAGGGATATTGACCATTGAAGACCTCAAAAAGTACACTGTTAAAGAGAAGGATCCCATATATTCAGATGTTCTTGGACTAAAGATCCTTGGCATGCCTCCCCCTTCAGGTGGGCCTCCAATGATACTAGTAAGTCCATCTGATTCACTACATAGGTGTTCTTGTCGGACAAAACTTAGATATAATATCGTAAATACTGTTAGTACTATTTTTTAATCAGAATTAAAGTTTTACCGAAGTTATACACTTCAACATTTAATGGAATCATGTATTACACATTATCAGAATGAAACTTCAACTATGATCAAAGAACAACATTAATAATACTTATAGTGTTGAATGCAAGTTTTATCTGTTTGTTAATGTTACAGCTGCTGAACATTCTAGCTCAATATGATCTTCCTTCTGGCCTTTCTGGTGCCCTTGGGGTCCATCGAGAAATTGAAGCTTTGAAACATGTATTTGCTGTGAGAATGAATCTTGGGGATCCTGATTTTGTAAATGTAACGGGGGTTGTTTCTGATATGCTTTCTCCTAGGCTTGCGAAACAGTTGAAAAAAGACATCAATGATAATAAGACTTTTGGCCCCAGTCATTATGGTGGCAGGTAAGCTCCTAAGTTCGTTGAGTTCACACTTTACAGTAATGTTTACATGGTTCATGCCTGTACTAGTTAATGATGTTATTTAGATGGTATACTAGTCTTCAACTTCATACACCAGTGATATGCAGCTTTTGGTGTGAACGACAAGAAAAAGATGCAGCAAATCAACACTTGCTTTTCTCCTTAGCAAAACTAGTTAAATTTGTATTTTACGAAAGATTCAAAGAATTCAACTTTTGACCAATTGGTTTCATGATACAATCAACTTTATTTTTTTTGAAGTCAATGATATAGTCAACTTTAAAAACAAAAAAAATACATCTTGATTGAGCTTGTGCTTTCAACTAGTTTATAAAGCTTGACTTTAGGTGTTCTAGGCACTAAATTGAATATTTTATTTACATAAAGATCCATATAAAAATAAACATTCTAACTAAAATTATTTCGGTTGCAATACAGAATTCTCAGTTGTGCTGAATTGTGTTTGCAGGTGGAATCAGATCCATGATCATGGTACAAGTCATTTAAATGTAATAGATCTTGAGCGAAATGCCATTTCCATGACCAACACCATAAATGCATATTTTGGTGCAAAGATCCTTTCACCAAGTACAGGAATAGTACTGAACAATGAGATGGATGATTTTTCCATTCCTAGAAATGTTTCCAAGGATGTTCCACCACCAGCTCCTGCCAATTTCATCATGCCAGGAAAGAGGCCATTATCATCCATGTCACCCACTATTGTCCTTAAGGTAATCAATCCTTTAGCATGACTTGACTTTCTTTTTTTTTAATCTGATGTACTCAGTATTAAGAAAGTTTACAACAGTTACACATTCTACTTAACCAACTCAACTAGATCCGTTTATATGATTTGACTTTCTTAAATTGGGGTATTCTTTTCCCACTATCATCCATGTCACCCACTACTAGTGCCCAAGTTGAGCTTCATCAAGAGGTAGTGATAGAAGATTTTTTTTTTTAATTTATTAAATAACATTATCACTCTTATCACAAGATAACAAGTCTTGATTGCAATGATTGTGAAATCCTATGATTGTTATTAATTCGTATTTTATATTTGCAATTGTTATACAGGATGGGAAGCTAAAGGCTGCAGTAGGTGCGAGTGGTGGTGCTATGATCATTGCTGCAACTTCAGAGGTTCTTTTAAATCACTTCGTTAAAGGAATGGATCCTTTTTCTTCTATAACAGCTACAAGGGTCTATCACCAGGTATCGTATCTTCGATTTTCCTTTGAGTTCCTTATCCAAGTTAAAAGAATTTGGTCTTCATTTTGCTGCTTTTATTTTGATATTTTTCTCTTTGATACTTAACATAGTGGTCACTAATTAATTGAGAAACTAAAAAATCACAATGTTGTTTTATGCAGCTAATACCTAACGTGGTGAATTATGAGAATTGGACAACTGTGAGTGGTGACCACTTTGAACTTCCTGCTCATATAAGGGAAGCCCTTAGGCGTAAGGGTCATGTTCTAAAAGGCATAGCCACTGGGACTATTTCCCAATTTATTGTTCTAGAAACTCCTCAGTCATCCAGTAAAAATAAAGGGATTGGAAATGGAAAGCTGGTGGCAGTGAGTGATCCAAGAAAGGGTGGTTTTCCTGCAGGCTATTAAGACTTTATTCTGCTTTTTTTTTTTTTTTTTTTTTTTTTTTTTTTT